CTTCCCTTCCATTTATCTTTCTGCCAAGAGGTAGGATTGCATTATTCTACCTATTCAAGGGCATCCATTTTCCTTTTATATAATGGGAAAAGACTCTCAGTTCCACTTAGCTTCACTGTCTTGTAATATGGGTGACAGCGTCATCAATCACTGACTGACTCTTCATTTTGTAGAATCTCTGAAGCCTGGGAGTTTGTTGTGGGAGATCGGGTGATAGATAGACAGTTTATCTCTGACAAAGCAGTGAGACAGACAGATTTCTTGTCCAGAATCAGATCTGCTGAGTGACTTGACAGCAGAGGGCTGTACAGATAATTAATTTTGTAGCAATACTGAAATGCCCACCTGCTTCTTCATGAACAAAGGTGATCAGGCCAGTGCAAAAGCCAGCAGAAAGGTAGGGATTCATTAGAGCAAGTAAATTCACATTGTTTCATCAAATTTGAATTACGATACAATTAATTTGCTCAGAATTTGCAGATATTTCATTCCCCTGAAGAGCCCACTGTGAATGGCCCCCAAAAGGGCATTTCTATGCTTTGGGCATAATGCCAGGCACCTATGCCAAAGGTTTTTTTTCCCCCAGCCACAGAAAACAGCTTTTATAAATAGCTTTCTTTGACTTTTTAAAAAGAATCCCTTTAGAATCTCTGTCCTCTTGGGAAAAACATGACAGAAACAGATTGCTAAGCCAGAGAGCGGGGAAGAATGGCACATGGGTGGTGAGGGACTGTTTAGAACATGCCAGAGCGGTAGATTGTAAATCCTCAGGGAGGGATTTGCCTTCCAGACTGTATCTCACACAGCTCAATAGGATCAGTAGTTGCCCTGTGGAGACAAAGCCTAATTGTAGATGCAAAGGGAGATTTGGTTTTGTTCACTGGTGCTGGCTATGTTTGACCTGTGCTAGCTTGTAATTTTAATACAAAATCTCCATGTATGTATCCAGTGCTTTGAATAGATAGTTTGATATTTACATATCTACTTAAGGGGTGTGTGTGTGTGTGTGTGTGTGTAAGAGAGAGAGTATGAATAAAAATCTCATATCCCCTGCCTCTACTGTACATTTCCTTCTCTTGTTCCCAAAACAATTTTTCCTATTATCATGCGGGACTCAAAGACTGATAAATATGAACCAAAATTGAACTAAAGCATTCATTTTAATAGTGCATCAAATAAAAAATGATTGAATTTTACTACATCCTATCTCAGAAACAAAATACTGATCCTGAAAAATAGTTTTGTATCTGCTTCTAGCAATGAATGTAGCTTTTCTTATGCAGCCTGTGAAAATATTGTATCTTTCTGTGAAAGAAAGACTGAAGCTTTCCCTTAAATTTTCCTTTAGATTTACTGAGTATCTAGAGTATAGGTGTTTTTTAAAATGTTTGCAAGTGTTGCCTACTATACAATAGCCAACCATGGCTTGACAGGTTCTGAACTGAAATCTGTTCTGTGTTGGTGTGGGTGCGTGTACGTGTACGTGGAAAAGTATATCTTCCACAAAATAGAATCTCTTGTTTCAGCTATTGAATAGAGACCTGTGAAAATGTACGGATAGGAAACATTGGCATTTGTTAAAAACCATGACATCAAAATGACAAGACCTGCACCATGGTGTCATCATGCCAATGATGCATTACACAACTTTCATCAGTCACATCAATATGCATAATATATAACAATACACAATAATATCAATAAATGATCAATCAAATACAGTAGATGAGGTCACATCTCATTCAGATGATACTGCTATTCTCTTCCCTTAAGGCCTTTGGAATAACCAGGTTTTAACAAGTTTCCAGAAGTTCATGAGGGACAATTTCTTTCATAAGTCCACTCTCCTTTGACATTTTTCTATCTAACTGGTAACAAAGAAACAAAAATCACTTTGTTCTTTAATATCACATTAATTTTATATTTGTAAGAGTGCAGTATTTAATATAATATGAGATAGACATCAATTTTCAAGAGACAAGAATGAAAGTCAGAAAAAATGCCACTATTAAATAAGAAGGAAGAACAATTTATGATGCATAAAAGTGTCATGACAACCTCAAATTTATGATCCAGATTGAGAATCTTCCTAAATTAAAAGAGAGATGCACAGACCACATGTGACTCCAAAAGCTGTAGATGCAGTTTATTCTTCTAAAAGTTGTTTCTGGATTTATTTATTTATTTATTCATGCTATTTATATGGCCACCCATCTCACAAGCAGGTGACTCTGGGCGGCATACAACAAAGCTAAGAGCAATATATACAAAAAAGTATTAATATTATTATTATTAAAAACTTCAAAATTGTAAAAGACACAAAACTAAAAAATACTGGCAAAAAGCGGGTGTTAATTACACTGAAGCCATCTCAATACTTCAAAATTGTAATTTTCTGTTTGACAAAGGGAAAATTATTACATATGTGGGGAATTATCTTATTAACTGTATTTAATTTGATTTAAATTTAATCAAATGTAATGTTATCCTAGCACTGCCCCCTTTCTGGAGTGCAATCCACAACTCACCACTCAAAGTTAAATGTAGAACTTAGATCAGAAAAGGTGCCATATCCCTGACTTCAAGCAGAGTTAGGTTTTTGCCTCCTAATTTGCAAGGTACAATGTCATTCTCCCACATTAGGGAGACTGTTTTCCCCCAAAAGCAAGGCTAATTGGTTGTGGGACTAAAGAGAGTTGCCAGCTTTTATTGTTAACAGATTGCTAGCTTTTTCTGTGACAGCAAACTGAAATCTAAAGAATCATCTTATTATTTGGAAACTAAGAAATCCACCCTCTGGCTTGTGTGCAGTTTCTGACTTTGAATAGAACACTTTTCTGACCTTTTTTGGGGGGTGGGGTGGAGTTCTTCATCATGTATTTAAAGCAGTAGAGATATGAGAGTTACCATGTCTCATGTTTCCATCTGATAGTGGATAAATGCCTTTTACAAAAAACTGTATGATTAATTCCTATTAATATATATAATCTGTGATTTGGTTCCATTTCTTGAAGAATATCCACTGCATATAGACTATTTCTAGTATTTTGAAGAAACTGATTTGGGTCGCATGGATGGGCAGTCTGTTACCTGCTGGCTGCATGTTGCCTCCCCCAACACATTTGTAGTACCTAGGTGCCATTGTGCCAAGGAGTGAAATTGTCACTCTTTTTCTGTGTTTAGAAAGCTTTAAGCCCTTGCAGAGTCACCCATTTCACACATTAAAATCTCCCAAACTCCCCCCTCCCCAGTTAAGCCACATTTTCTCATTTGGGGACTTCCAGGACAACACAGTATTGGTTTTAACAACACCTCCCCCTCTCCCAGTTAAAAAAAGAGCAAACAACAGACCAAAACATCTGGCCTGTCCACTTCAGTAACAACATGACTTCTCTAGTCTTATCCTTTGCAGCCCTCGGGTAGGAAACAAGTCCAAGAACATTATCCAGCCCAGCATAATAATCACAAAGTTCTGAAATCCAAATGTTTGAATAATCTCTTTCCCTAACTGGCCTTGTAAATTTTTGTGGTTTTTTGTGGCAGTACTTGTTTTCTCTGTTTTTTGCAGGTATTGCTGAGTCAAGTACATCGGCTACGAGCTCTTGATTTACTGGGCCGTTTTTTGGATCTGGGTCCCTGGGCTGTTAGTTTGGTAAGTACATATTACCACCCTTTAGGTGAAAGAGGAAAGACACTTTCTATATCATCAGCATGTATGACTGATGAACTTATTCTTCCTGGATGTTGAAAATAATGTCCCGTGAGTTTGCAGAGATGGCCACTATATGTCAGCAATCGGATGGTCCTCAGGTCACTATAAATCAGGCTGTCAGAATTTAACCAAGTCTGGAAGTGGTTGAGAATCTTGTTATAAGCCACAATTCCCATCCTTGTTCAGCCTATTCCATTCCATCTAAAGCTGGGCATAGCAATATTAAAAGGTGTAATTTGACTGCTCAGGCAGTTTCTTGTGGACATGCTGATATTGAACAAGCTCCTAGAATAAAATGAGGATTAAAACTAGAAGAGCTTCTGGCTATTGTAATTTTTATTCACACAAGCACTGTCTAGACCTTAAAAAGAAGCTGCTTAACACCATGTAAAAATTTGAGCTGTTCTAACTCTGCTTTTTAATTGAGGAAATGGAACAACAAGACAAAAACTTGAAAAATGTGGTGTTAAAAAGAAAAATAAATCAGGGGGAAAGGCAAAGGAAGTGGGGGGTTAAGAAAGAATAATTATATTTGGGTTTTGTATATATCTGAATACATTTATAACCTTAAGGAGTAACACAATTTAAAGTTTCACATTCAGTATTTCTATCAAAAATGACATTTGTACCTATTAGGAAATATATTGTTAATATATCTAATAAATTGTGACTACATTTGAAAAAACCTACCCTGCATTTCAGAACACTTTGTTGTGGTGATTTTCCAGCCAGAACAATTTCCCTTTGCAGAGCATCTCGGAATAATGTTGACATGAGACAAATATGCAGATATTATCTCTTTAGCATCATCACTGTGGCAGTGATGAAAGGTGAGGGTAGGAGATACTCAACATCAGCCCTACGCATCCTATATTTATGTTCTTTCTCAATTTTCTTTTCTATTAGGCTTTATCTGTTGGCATTTTCCCCTATGTATTAAAGCTCCTTCAAAGTTCTGCTCGAGAATTAAGACCTCTTCTAGTCTTCATCTGGGCCAAAATCCTTGCAGTGGACAGTGTAAGTAACCATTAAGTGTTAATTGACAAAGATGCAGAATACTATAGCTGTGCAGTGCTTTCGGTTCAGTCTACAAAAGTTGCTTCACAGTACATGGGAACATGAACATTGCACCTGCTTGCAACTCTTTAAAGCTCATGGGAAAAGGTGTTGCTTTAAGGTGTTGCAGGCAGATGCTATATTCATGCTTCCAAACATCCCAAAGCATTTTCTGGACATCAGATCTAAAGCATTGCGCAGCCTTATAGAAAACTTGAAAAGCTCTCCTAGTGATTGCATTACTGAAAAGTGAGAATATTTGTTTCAAAATGAGGTACAAGCAAGAAAATTAACTTTGTCCCATGGTTGGAATTTAACTTTTGGTCCTGCTGTTAAAATACCCATTACTGAGCTATCAAGCTTTTAGAAGGAAAGGGGGGGGGTAGAAAATGCATAGTTCATGAAATTTTCAAGTCTGGGCATGATGTCTCCTCTCTAACCAATGCTGAACTTTAAATAAATAAAACTCTCAAAGTCCAAAACCTTTTTTGCTGGTTAATTAATCTAACAGACAAATACAGTATGTTGTCTTAGTAATTTGGTCTGTTGGAATGATTTCTTTCAAGTAACATGCTAAACCATGCCAGAAGTATGATCATCATAGAATACATTGAAGTGCAAACTCTTCATTTTTCTCTGCTTAGTGCTTTTGTAGTCTAAAATTATTTTATCTGGGTTATTTGATCTGTTCTATACCAGACAATTTTTTATACGTGGACAAATATTCATTTGCTCTTCATGTACATCTGTCAGTCTGCTTGTCTATGTTTACAAGTGTTTAGCATACATTGCACATTAAAGTAATTACAAATGAAAATTATTAGCTACTGTAAAAATTACAGCATCAAAAGCATTTTAAAGACTAAGATTGGTGTTGACTGATTCTTTATATTGCCTTGTCTGATTAATGGTCTTAAGCACAAACAGGAGCCATGATCAAGTGCTGGCATCTTTTCCCGCTGATCTAGAGTTATGTTTAGTATTATTAGATATATTTTGAATAATGTTTTAAGAGGATTTTAGACAGCAAAGAAAATGAAAAATAATCCTCTGTTTTGGAAAAAAAGAGCTTTTTTTGATGAATGCTTTTGTTTAGCTAGACAATCAAACCTCCATGTATAATTCAGAATAAGAATATATTCACTGAATGTGGCATGGAACACCGTGCAGATCTATAAGAACAATAACATTATTGTCTCTAGGAGTATAGGACATAATTTCTTCTTTGAAAATAGGGCCAAGAAGAGTATAGTCTTATTTGTTCAAGCCATGATTTGCTACCCGGTACTAGGGTAAGAGGACAGTGTATTTATAACATTGCAATACAATGTTGAATTCAATACATTGTTAATTTCCCAGACAATTTCTCTGAGTATTTTTTTAAAAAAGCATGAATGTAATGCTGATTGAAGAGGAAGAAGAAGGAGTAATGATGTGAGGAAAGGGTATGGTCCAGTGCCTGACCACCAACAATGATAATCCTATAAGGTTCAGGCTCTGATGAATGCATTTCTGGTGTGGCCATTGTGTTCCAGAGCTGGTTGTTTTGTAACACTTATGTCAGGGAACGATGACTGTGGGCAAATGTCCTAGTGATTATCTCAGTATTATCTCAGTTGCTGTAATCAATCACAAGAAACCATTGCTTATTGTGTTTGCCATAAGAAAAGTGTTGCAATTAATTGTTCTTTTGCAGTGAATTGCATCTGTGGAATAGTGCAGTAGAAAAAAGGTTCAGATGGTAGAATTAAGGAAGGGTGTTACAGAGATATATTCTCTAGTCACTATCCAACTACTCTTGTGCTGTAGACTAATGAATTACAAATTGAGCTGTGATTCAGAAAGTACTCAGTTCAAATCTTTCCTCTGCTATGAATTTACTGGGTAGCATTAGGCAAGTTAGTTTCTCTCAATTCCCATCTGTAATTTAATAATACTTCAAGTCAATATCTTATAAAGTTGTTGTAAGAATTACCATGTCTGGAAGTGCATGATACTGTAGAATTGACAAAGCTAAGTGGACAGAAAACTAATCAATATTCTGGATACCCATAGGAGAGCAAAATGCAAGTATAAATAACACAAGTTTAAAGCAGACTTAGTTTCCTGAGACTGGTCCAATTAGAGCTCTGTCTCACATTCTCTTCAGTACATAGTTTTGTAAAAATGTATTTGTCCCCTTTCAGATTTTCTGAATTTTCTGAATATCTGCTGAATGTTATCAGAACTTCATAGGCCTTATTGATCTTAAAGGGAATCTAAGTGAACAAATAACACTAAAAGTTGCAGACTTTTTCAGATAATTTTTTTCGTACAAGAATGATCATGACTGCTGATTGTGTACAAAATATCTGCACTGAATACGACCTGTGAAGACTCAGAGCACCTACTTATTCTTCCTGTTAGCTTTTAATGTGGGTTTTTTTTCCTGAATAGAAGTGTCTCCTGCACTTTATGGCTTTGTTTGCAGGAGTAACAAAGAATTGGAAGAGCAGAAAGGGAAGGACAGCATAATTATGCAATAATACACATTCCATTGGGAAAAAGTAGGTTAGAATATATCTATTTATCAGCCTTTTCAATTAAAGTATTTGCCATTTAGACTGTACAAGTTGGTAGGGACAAGCCTTGAATGTTTTTGTGCATGCTTTGAGTGAATATCTCTTGTCCACATGAACATTTAATTCTTTGAGTATAGTTGGTCTAATGTAGCACTTAAATAAAACTATTTCATTGGAAATAAGCAGAATTATTTTTAATTATGTTGTAAACTTAGAGTAAGAGCTTAATGTAGATTTATATCTGTTGTAAGGAAAGTCGGAAGTCATTCTTTTTTGTATTTCTGTTTCTTCCTTTTTCTTTTTCTTTCTGCACTTTTGACTTTGTTCTCTTTCTTCTCTTTCTTCTTTTTTCTTTCTTTACTCTCTGTCTTAAATATTAGTTTTTGTTAGATTTCAAGATAAGAAAGATAATAACAAAATAATATTGTATTAATAAATATTAATATTACAGTAAATAATAGTATTATTTACTACTAATAGTAAAATAATAATCTAATATTTAAGATTAATGAAGTTATTTGAAAAGAAGAAAATAAGCAGATTTTTTTTTTTTAATTAAAGCTGTATTTTTAATAGAAAGGATGAGTTTGCTTGCTTTTGCATAATTCCTGAAATCTGAGTTTCATTTTGAAAATTGCTATTTTCATTCATCAACGTCAGGAAAGGAGAAATGAAAAGAAAATAAGCTGTTTCCCTGTGTAAATCTGTTTCTCTTAAAATGCTACAGCTTGCAAAACACCGGTAGGCTCTTGAGTTTCTTTTGGTGTTTTCTGTCCCAGCACAATAGCATTGAGATAACAGTCACAGCTCATCTTCACTTTGTCTTCCAGCCTGGTGCTTGTAAATCCATCCCCAACTCTGGTGTTTCCCTCCTCTTTGTAGCCTCACAGTCCCTCTTCCTTCCCCTTATGTCTTAATTCCCTCAACAAGGCCTTGCTAGGAAGGTACTCCCTCATAATCCATTGTCTTGGGTGGGAGTCATGACCCACGCTTTGAGAAAGACTGTCATAGATAGTCAATAGGTGCAACTACATTCAGGCAACAAGCAGTGCCTGAATCAAATCAGTGTTCAGTCTAAACAGGAAAATGGCACATAACTAAAAGTGGCGATCATAATAAGAGCAGGATCATTGATGCTACCGTCCATTTCTGATAGCACGTAAAGTTAGGGAGAATTAATGCATCATACTAACGAGAGTGGTGTCAGTTTGATGCTTACAATAAATTAAGTAAGAAGCAGCCACATTAGTATAAAGCTATACACTTTCAAAAGAAAGACAAACACTCTTCAAGTTGCCTGTTTAAGTATCTTTGAAACATCCTACAAGCAGAAATTGTAAAGAGCAGTAAGATCTCATAACTACTGGTATTGTAATGAAAATGCAATCCGTATAACAAAAGTTCCATGGCAGACCCATCTTTTCTCAGATGACACAAGACCATGTGATTCAAGTGGGAAACTATCCCATCTCCTTACCGATTAGTAACTTATGGGCAACACTGTTAAAAAGAATTCAAATATAGCTAGCCATTCAAAGCTTAAATTTTCCAGTGCAAAAAGCTCGACTTCTTTTGTAGCTCTCTGTATTACTATTAAGTACCTCAGCAATGGAGTGCTGTATGCTTCTTCATCGGTATCTTTCTCAGCCTCTTTCTTTCGACAGGTAATGTCTTAACTCTCTTTATTCCTTTTCACTGATTAAAAATGCATTGCCACTACTCCTGAAGTGCCTGTTATGTATCATCCAGAAGGGAGATTCAAAATAAAGTCAACTTCCTTCCTTCCTTTCTTTTCTCCCATCTCTAATGAATGTAACTTTTGTCTTTTATATAAATATATGTGTGTTTCTATATTCATTTGTCCTCTTTTTCTGGCCTTAATATGTCATCCCCAAAACCTGAGCTGGAGTGCTAATACAAGGTGTCTCAGGAAACAGTTCTTAATGGGGATTCTTGGTGGTCAAAATCAGACGGCTGGATTCTTGTTTGTTTAATTGTCATCACATGTGAAATGTGAGGAAAGCTCATATAGCTACATTAACATGGTAAGTTGCAGCATGTGGAATAGCTTGTCACATGGAATAATCAAGGGAAATTCTTCCTCTTGGAAAAACTGAGTATGTCCCATCCTCATTATTAAACACTAACAAAATGATGGAGGGCGTATTTGTGGAGAGCTGAAGGATTTGAAGGATTTCTGCTGTGATTTCTGTGTGTCCTGCTCCAAGATCCCTAGGAGGACCATCCTTAGTTACAGATGGTAAGCATTGTCCCAGATGCAGCACTTCATAGCCCTCTTTAGTTAGCTATTTGATTTATACTTTGCCTTTTCTACAGGAGCTCAGAGCAATGCATATGCCTCTCCCCCACAACAACAGTGTGGGGCACATTGAGCTGAGT